TTTGCTTCCTCTCGACCCTCGACGTTTCTGTCTCTAAAAAGGATCACTTTGTCATCGAGGGCAAGGTTTACTGTGACACGTGCCGAATCCAATTCTTCACCCGTGTTAGCAAATGGATGCATGGTAACATAGTTCCTTTGTTCGTTCCTTCAGTATCTTATGTTCAAACTCCTGTAATGTCATTTCTTTATAATGTATCATGTATCAGGAGCTAAGGTGAAGTTGGTATGCCGCGAGGAGGAAGGAGGAAGCGAGACGTTAGCCGTCGAGGCTGAGACCGGGAAGAACGGAGAGTACACGATCAAGGTGGATGGCGACCATGAGGAGGAGGTTTGTGAAGTGAATTTGGTGAAGAGTAGTGATGATGACTGTGCTGAGATTCCCACCGATGGGTTTGGGCATAGGGCGAGAGTGAGCATCACGGCCAACGATGGCATCACGAACCCTGTGCGTCAAGCTAACCCACTTGGGTTCATGAAGAAGGAGACACTTCCCCAATGCAAGGAGGTTCTTCGTGAGCTTGGGTTCGATGAGGCTGGTCTTCCCGTTTGAAGCTAAGCCACAAAGGGCCTTTCTTGGTTAAGCACATGCATGGTTATAGCATATATGCTTTAATGTTGAAATCGATGAGGTAGTTGCTTAAGAGTTTATTTTTTCTTAGTAATTCAAAATGAATTTAGGTTATGATTTAATCATGAATAAATCGATCATTAAAGCATTAATGATACTTGGCTCGGGGTCTATAGCTCAGTTGGTGAGCTTTGTTCTTGCCATTGAGTCGCTTTGATTATGGGTTGGATGTCTAATTGTTCATGCGATAATGATAATATCTTGTATTTGAACCGATGGCTCACTTTTGCTCACTTTTCCTAAGAAAGAGAGGAGGTCTATATTAGGGTTCCCCCGTCTCGGAAGCATAAGACCTAGCATAATTGAAGCTATAAAGGTTTTTTAGTGGCTCATAGAAATATTAAAATAATGACGTCTGCGCAAGTGATTACAGTGACCTAGCCTAATTATTCAAATTGTAAATTTTTTCGAATAAATAAAAAAATAATTATGAAATTAAATACAAATTTATTTATTTGAATTTATGAACCACCTCATTTAAATTTTCATTTATTTGAACTTAACGATATTAAGAACCTTTTCAACATCAATGGTAATAATTGGATAAACAGCTCGTTGATAGAGGTAAATTAATAAGACCCCATGTAAAAAGTTTTCCATATGGCTTAAGAAATTTAAAAAAAAAAATTAATTCATGATTACAATATTTATATATTCTTACGTACTTTAACATATATTATTTTTATGTGAATTCTGACAATACAAGAGAGAACCCTTCCTCTAATTTTTTTTTTTTTTATATTTGAATCTCTAATTATTATTATTTGTTTTTGAATTTTGATTTAATGTGTCTCGAAATCTCTAATTATTTTTTTTAATATATCGATATTAAAAAAAATGATAATAACAATTACTATTTGTATAAAAAAATAAAAAATAAACTAGCCCTTTTTTCTAAATTAAAAAAAGTAATTACTATATTATATAATCTAAATTTAAAAAAAAAGTAATTATTATATTATATAAAAATAGAAAATAACTAAAAAAAATCTTCTTTTTTTTTATTATTATCTCTCTTCATTATCTTTTATCTAAGATATATAATTATTTACCTAATAAAATCTATAAATATTTCTCCCACCCTACATAAATTTATATATAAAAATATATGTCACAATCACACCTTTGATGGTAGCGGACTTGCGACTTTGCTGCACTCATTTTCCAACAACAATTGAGCTAAGTCAATTCGTTCTTACGCCTACGGCCAAACGACGTATGCTCGAACCTCTGACTTCGGTTTAAGAAGAAGATTTTAGAAAACGAGAATAGATAGAGATTTTCGAAGGAGAGATTTTGAGAAAGTGTTATATATGCAAGAAGTAACAAGTACTACTCAGTATATAATTGTATTGAGAAAGTGTTATATATGCAAGAAGTAACAAGTACTACTCAGTATATAATTGTATTGTAGTGAATATTGTCCGGTGGTAAGAATGATTACATTAGCTTAGAAGTTAAAGCATCACATTTGTATTCGGATAGCAGACTTTTCTTTATTTATTTGATTTTAACTTTCTATTATGAATAAAAATGGAGAGATTCTATTTTTATAGAACAAATCAAGAAAGTAACAAGCCAGAATTGGATTTCATATTCGAATGAACTCGTAAAAAACATAGCTATTTTTAGGTTTAGTAAACACGAAAGCTGAAAAAAGGACTCCCATCCACAAAAACTCAACCAACTCCCAAAGAAACAACCAAATTAGTCCTATAAGAGACCTCCTTTCCCATCATTCAAATCACTCTCACATTCACATTTACATTCAGAATTCTCCATCTATCTATCCCAACAACCACAATGGCAAAATCCTTTGCTATCATCCTTCTTTCTGCCCTTTTCTTCCTCTCCATCCTCCACGTCTCCGTCTCGAAAAAAGATCACTTTGTCGTCGAGGGCAAGGTTTATTGTGACACGTGCCGCATCCAATTCTTCACCCGTGTCAGCAAATGGATGCATGGTAACACAATTCCTTTGTTCGTTCCTTCTATATCTTAGGTTCAAACTCCTGTAATGTCATTTGTCTATGATGTATCATGTATCAGGAGCTAAGGTGAAGTTGGTATGCCGCGAAGAGGAAGGAGGAAGTGAGACGTTAGCCGTCGAGGCTGAGACCGGGAAGAACGGAGAGTACACGATCAAGGTGGACGGCGACCATGAGGAGGAGGTTTGTGAAGTGAATTTGGTGAAGAGTAGTGATGATGACTGTGCTGAGGTTCCCACCGATGGATTTGGGCATAGGGCGAGAGTGAGCATCACGGCCAACGATGGCATCACGAACCCTATGCGTCAAGCTAACCCACTTGGGTTCATGAAGAAGGAGACTCTTCCCCAATGCAAAGAGGTTCTTCGTGAGCTTGGGTTCGATGAGGCTGGTCTTCCAGTTTGAAGCTAAGCCACCACAAAGGGCCTTCCTTGGTCAACCACATGCATTCTTATAGCATATAAAAGCACTTTTTTTTTTTTTAAATGAATAATTTTAAAGACCATTGATGTCAAATAAATTGTTGAATGAAATTTTTTTATACCTCGATTCGACTATTAATACGCTTTGCTTTCACTTTCGATTTGGTATTATGCTTGATTTGTTGCTCGAATCAGAGCTAATTCATTCTCAAAATGGGTTGAGGTGCAACAATTGACTAGACATCTAAAACATCTAGGGAGTTTAGGGTGATTGTTCCTGGGTCGATGCCCGAGCAGTTAATGGGGACGAACGGTAAATTCGTTGGCAATATTGTCTACGCTGGTTTAAATCCAGCTCGGCTCAATAATTTGGGGATCCACCATAAATTGATATAACCCATTTGTCCTTGGACAGAAATGCTTGATATGAAAGAATAAAAAAAACTCTTTTTTTATTGATATAACCCATTTGTCCGTGCATATCAATCTATTACTTGCGTCTTGTCGGGTAAAATATGACAATTCGAATAAAAAAACATATTTGAAGGAAATTAAATCAACAACCTATGTTGTACACTTTATTTCCCCGGGAAGCTACGGGTTTGAGTCCCGAAAGTGAGCATAGTACCAAATCAAGCATGCAAGCAAATGATTTCACTTCTAACCACAACTCATCCATTGATTCTTCAATATCATTTGGACCTCCACTTAATTTCTCCAAAACTTCATCTTGGTCATGGATAGATCCCGGGGAACAATGTGGAAATTGTGAGGCTTGTGAGGTTGGAGAGGGGAACAGTGTGTGAGATCCCACATCGGTTGGAGAGGGGAAGATCCCACATCGGTTGGAGAGGGGAACAGTGTGGAAATTGTGAGGCTAACGATGATAGCTAGTAGGCTAGAGCGGACAATCAGAAGTCTCCCACGAGGGATGTGTCGAGGTTCTCGCGGTTCTCGCTAACCATGAACGTGTTCTCCCTTTGCTTATGTGAGTCTAACCCGCCTTTGACTCCCTTTTCTTATGTGAGTTTGACTTGCCTTTGACTCCGCTTGCTTCTAACTCCGTGAGACGTTTAACGACCTAGTAAGCGTGAGTCATCAGCTCGCGTTGACTACGTCTCTACCCTTTGTACACATCGTCCGTCTCTCCTACCAATTGAATAGTCTGGTGAAGTGTTCGAATCATGGCGACATGGGGCGGCTCGCTGCCTGCGACGTCACGAGAAGTCCACTAAACCTTATCATTTAGAGAAAGGAGAAGTCGTAACAAGGTTTCCGTAGGTGAACCTGCGGAATGATCATTTTCGATGCCTAAACATCAAACGACATATGACTTCTTTGAAGGGTTGGTCCTCAGCTCATGCATCGGTTTACCGAAAGAACCAATACTATCCCACTTCTTTCTATTAAACAAGGCTACCCCAAAATACAAAAGTTGTTGAAATTAAAAATGCAAAAAGTTAGGTCTAGATTAATTATGGATGGAGACATTTAAAAGTTTTAAGGGTAAATCATATTTTAAGGTTAAAAAAATAGTTAAAAAAATAGGTATTTTGGGACCACTTTTCGAAAGTTTTAAAATAAAGTATTAATTGAATCAGATATTTAAAAAGTTACTCTAAAAATTTAAGAATACTATTAAAACTCGTAATAATTTTAAAATATATATATATTTTTTTACATAAAATATACATTTTATTAATTTAGCCTAATAAATAAATATTTAATGTCCAAATTTATGGATTTTACTTATAATTAACCTTTTTATATATATAGATATATATTATAAATAATAATAATGGATATAAATATAGATAATTAAGGCTCCAAATAAACAAAAACCTAAAAAAAAACAATTTCACCAATTTTAAAATCAAGCGATATAAAATCCCCTTTTTCTCTCTCTCTCTCCTCCTCCGTCTTCCCCATTCTAAATCCTCTCTTTTCTCTCTCTAATTCCAATGGGCAATGCCGCCGCCTCTCCATGTTATGTATCAATTTCCGTCTCCCGCCGCCGCTCCTCCGCCGTCAAACTCGTCTTCTCCGACGGCTTTACTAGACTCCTCCCCGGTAAGCACCACATGGCCGGTGAAATCATGTTCCGATTCCCAAACACGATGATCTGTCACGCCGATTCCTTCTTCATCGGTCACACCATCCCCTCCTTAGGCACCGACGACAAACTCATCGCCGGCGAGACCTACTTCATCCTCCCGCTCGATCTATTCGCCTCCTTCGACGTTCTCACCACATCGTCGCTCGCAGCCCTCGGCGCTCAAAAGGCGAAGACCGTGAAATTTTCCGGTCCTTGTCCGTTTGAGTATGTTCGAAACGCAAATGGAAGAGTTCTGATTAAGGTCGCGCCGGAGTTCATTCTTCGCCTAATTTCCCCGGCGGACGACGGCGGAGGAGGTCAATTTCTGTGCAGTACGCCGGAGTTGAAGAAACATTACGATCAACTCGTCGGATCGAAGGGCCCGGTTTGGTCCCCCAAATTGGAGAGCATTTCGGAGTATGAAATTAGGCATTCACCCTATAAATTTGTAGGGTTTAAACTCAAACAAAAAGAAGGCTAAACAAATACCAAAGGCTAAATAAGTAATTTCATTCCTTTTTTCTTTTTCCCTTTTTTGTCCTTCTCATTTGTACAAAAAGAGAGAAAATATTAACATTTTTTTTTATTTTCTTATTATAAACTGAATATTGTCCGTTTTGACTCCATACGTATCGTTGTCGGCCTCACTAGTTTAAAACGCGCATGTTCGGGAGATGTTTCCACGCCCGTATGCGCGCTTTATAAGGAATATTTCGTTCTTCTCTCCAACTGACATGGAATCTCACAAGAACCGATATTGACCCAAACGAATAATATAATTTTTGTAGCACTTGTCCCCCATATTTGACTTTTTTTCTTTGACACAATTCAGTATCTTCATCTTTAATTTGGGTAACAATATCATCTACTTGGTGTAATCGTATATACTTATTCAAAAATATGGCTTAAAATAAATGTAATACCAAGTTGTATAAACTAAATTTCGACCCAAATCAAAAGTCTACCATTTTGACTTTCGAAGCAAAAATGTCGAAGTCTCAATCTCGATAATGAAGAGATTGAATTTATAATTTAAAATAAGTTCTTTAATATATATTTATGACGGAAAAAATTATTGAGTGTATTTTTGTTTTGAAATTATGATTTTAAAAAATGAGATAAAGAAAAAAATAACGAGACCCATTCAAGAAAGATACTCGTGAGTTGGGTTAGGTCAGACTGAGACATATTTAGGTTCATATTATTTATTTAAAATTTTGTTTTTAATAAAGGTAAAATGTTAGTCCTAAAATATTTATTTATTTATTTTCAAACATTTAATTTAATTTGTAAGTCAAGTACCAAAGTAATTATAAAATAATAATAATAAAAAAAAAATATATATATATACACACTGATCCTCTCATTTATAAAATCTTTATTTATTTGAACTCAGCTATCTCAAATAAATTCATGACCTAATTCGATTGAGTTTTTCAGATCATCAAGTTTTATGAACACCCCTGCAACTTGATAAGAGACTTAAAAATGAACATTTGGTTTTAGACGATAATATAATCCTTCAATGTTTGACTTATCCTCAGTTTACACGAATCAGTGTCTTCATCTTGGTTACCAACATGCCTCCACTTGGTGTTACATGCTTGTCAAATTAGACGTCGTAATTTATACCTCTAAGAATGTCATTATCATTGAGTTTTTTTCCATTCCAGAAAGACAATATGACTTAAAATAAACGTTAAAGAGTGTGTGACTTAAACTCTTGACTCGTCGACTTTTAACTAGCAATTTTGAAGTCTATCTAAAATTATATGAAATTTTTTTTTTGCAATTGTAATTATCGACCTCTGACTAACGAAGAATATAATGATTGACATTTTCAATCTAGATTATTCTCTATCGATTGTACGGGAGAATCAGAGATATCCATTTATCCCACAAAGTCTCGAAATCTCCTATTAAATAGAAAATGGAGAGGGAGTAAGAGATTTTTCTCATTAGATAAACCGGGCCAACGGAAGGATTATATTCTTGATCCTCATCCCCGTCCAATTCTCTGCCTAGTATCTATTTTTTTTTTTTAACATATAAACACAAATAAATGTATATATTTTTTTGTTACAAATTATTCATATATCTAAGATTTTTAGTTTATGATGGTAATATTATTCACTCACGTAAAATTTATTTTTATTTCAATCTTATGTAAATTCTAAACATTTTTTTTTTAATTTTAAAATTTTAGAAATAAATATAAAATTTAGGGATATTTTGATTAATTTAGGGATATTTTGATTAATTTAGGGATTTGGAAAGCAGCTGCATTTACATTGGATCATTCTCCAAATTTCATTGATTTTTGGTGTGGCGTTGGATTTTGGTCCGTAAAACCCAATTGGAAAAGGCTTTCAAATTAGAGAACAGTGCGAATCACAGGGCAATTCAAGGATACGCAGCAGCCGTTGCCACTTCCCACAGATCATCAGCGCAATTGTGCAGAGACCTTCATAGGGTAAGTTTCCTGATTACCCCGCCAATGTATGCCAGATTCCGATCCCCGAGTCCCGTCTTAGCAGTTTTCCGGCTGGTCTAGTCTGAATCCGTGGATGTCGCTTCTTTCATTGGCTACTGTTTATCAGTTTCATGATCTGATGGGTGTCTTTCGTTTGTTTTTTAAGGCTCTGGTTGCGAAATAGAGCCAAATGGCGTCCATGGAAATTGACAGCGCTAATTCCAATGCTTCTGACCCTGATAATCCTAGATTTTCCATTAACGGTATGCCCATGTCAATTTTGAAGTTGTTTAAGCTTTTTTGGGTTTTAAAACTGCGCCTGGTGTGTTCATTTTGTCCATTTTTATCAGCTGTGGCTAAATTCTTCACGTTAGACTAAACTTGTTGGATGCTGATGGTGGTTTATCTGTTGTTTTTATTTGTTTTTCGAAGTATTGCAGCTCTTGAAATCTGCCCAGATGCAGCATGGATTACGTCATGGAGATTATACTCGCTATCGGTTTGTGTCATTTGGTTTAATTGATAAATTTTGATGCTGTTTTTTAGTTTCTTACTTCCAATTATGCTAGCGTTGATAGTGTTATGAATTTCTCCTTATTGCGTAGGCGGTTGATTTTTGGTAGATTTGATCTTTTTGATGTGTAGGAGATATTGCACAGCTCGGCTAAGGAGGCTATATAAATCTCTGAAGTTTACGCATGGCCGTGGAAAGTACACCAAACGAGCCATAACTCAATCAACTGTTACTGAAGTCAGGTTTGTCCCATTTAATAGTTTTTTAATGCCGAGAGTAGCATAATTTTGTCGAATATTTACATGTTGCTTCTATACTCGCCCTTTTTTTGTTTGCGCTTCAAAGCAGTCTCCTCCTGTTACTGATTAGAAAAATACTCTAGATATTGTTAACTAGATGGTCAATGATGTCTCCCCTTAATGTACACTGATTCTAATGAAGTGGGGAAGGAAAAAGGAAGGGAAAGAAGATGGCGAAGTGTTAATTTATTTGAGCATTGTCTGTGGCTGTGTTAAATTCAACAAAGTTTAAAACTATCAACCTTCTGGATTTAAAATAGGTTTCTCCATGTGGTTCTTTATACGGCGGAGAGAGCATGGAGTCATGCCATGGAGAAAAGGCAATTACCAGATGGTCCAAATGCACGTCAGCGTATCTATTTGATTGGTAGGCTCAGAAAGGCAGTAAAATGGGCGACTCTCTTCGCACAATTGTGTGCAAGCAAGGGAGACTCAAGAACATCTTTGGAAGCAGAGGTTTGGTCCTAGTTTTCTTCTTATGGAATATATGTTATATATGATACTCTTTTAACTTCGAAATTTTAGAATTACGTCTTCATGAAGAGTGATTTTTCATAATTTTTTTTTTTTTTTTTTGTTTCTCAGCTGATAATTATTTGTTCATATATGTAGGCTTATGCATCTTATATGACTGGGAACTTGTTGTTTGAACAAGATCGGAATTGGGACATAGCATTATTGAACTTCAAAAGATCTAGGTGCTTCCTTGTATTTTCTCGATCTTTAAATTCCTTCTTAGAATGATCAACTAATTCTTGCATTACCTTCTTTTTAAGGGTTAATATGCATTATGCAAAATTTTTTGCTCTATGGATGTTTTACTAGCTATTTTTGTTTATTTATTTATTTTTCTGTCCTCTATATTAGAAAGGTCAAAAATCCCTTTGAGAGATAATGCCACTGTCATACTAGGAAAGTCTGGAAGACTCATTTAGAAGAGACTTTGGGATTGAATTGGGTTTAGTACCTCTATTCAAGCTTTAATTCCCACAAATTTGCATATAAATTGTTTTGATTTAGATGGCTGGTACACTGTGTTGACATCCCGTAATTCTTCCCTCTCCTACTCTTTTCACTGAAAGTAATATTTTGTTCCAACCAAATTTCCCAAAAAATGGCCCTAGAAGCATTAAGTGAAAAAGTTCGCATCTTTTCTTTGAAACTTTTGACCAAAAAGGAGAATATGAATGGCTTTCGTGATCCTTGAAAGTTGGGTAAGCTGACAGCAAAAGGATCATTAAAGCTTCAGTGTGTAATTGCAACTGAGGAAAAGGCGATTAGCATTCTTATTCATACTGTTGAAGATCACCGTAGGATAATGCGAAGACAATTACATATCTATGATGTATACTGTTATCCATTTGTAAAGAATCAAATAATTGTGAAGGATACATCTTATAGCAATAAAATTTGTAAAGCACACTTGATCTCTTAAAGGCCCTGCATTGTTTATCATCTCATTTTGATTTAGATAACATGATTAGCTAATATTATGTTTACCTTTCAGAGCTGTTTATGAGGAACTTGGGAAAGTAGGAGATCTAGAGAATCAAGTTTTGTGCCGTGAACGTGTGGAGGAGCTAGAACCTAGTATAAGATATTGCTTGCACAAGATTGGCAAGTCAAATATCCAGGCCTCTGAACTTCTACATATTGGGGAGATGGAAGGCCCTGCTCTAGACCTTTTCAAAGCTAAACTAGAGGTCTGTTTGCTTGCCTTTTACTTTCAAGTTTATTCATTTATCATTTTTGTTCAGATTCTTATTTATTTGATTTATAAGCATTGCATATACAATGTATTTATGTACGAGCACCATAAATTAAACAATTTTACTGAAAGAGATCTGTCAGCTAACAAAAATCTCAGACTCATATTGGTTTTCACAGTTTATAAGAATTCAATTCTCTTGTTGATTTCGGTGTTTCCTTTTCTGCAAAGTTGTTTTATTGTCAATAAAGTTATCTATTAGTTTTCAAGAAAGCGTTGTTTGAGACTTTGGTTTTGATTTAATTGATTCCAGACCAACTTTTTGCTTTAAAAGTGTTCTGGCTTCAACGAAGTTTTTTTTTATTTAGTTTGGAGAGGTTTTCGCCCAAGGACAAGTTTGAGTTTTTAGACTAGATTCTCTCATCTCCCTTTCTTTTAAGACTTCAGTATAGGCATAGATCTTTGTGGTTAATGGTGGTGGACCTGT